CAGAATTTTCAGGCATGGACACAAGAGAATTGGGGTTGGAGTATTGACTTTTGTGTAACATGCCTGTTGAGGTATATACTGAGGGCAAAATGTAAGGGAACACTAAGGCCACACTTCTTTTTTCGACTTGCTTTACAGATCCACCGACTGAAAATTTTGTTGAAATGGAAAAGACACCAGAATTTGCTCACTTTTTTTTATCCCACCAAAAGGCTGATAATGTATTTTGCCCCAAAAAATATTTTCTGAACAAGGACCCTCTGAAGTTGGGAGTCAAAATCAAGTTTGTTGTTGTTTCTGAGACTTATAGGATGCAGTGATGCACAACAGTTTTTCTGCTTGATTTGTCAGGTCTGCATGGCAGCTGTGTTGCAGGCTTTCCTCCCACATTCAACCATTTTTATTTTTGTATACCAGCCGACCTGTAGTGGAGCATGAAACTAAAAAAGAAATTGAATTGCTTTTAGGCTAAAAAATATAATAGTCTTGGTTGGTTCTCAGGCACCGCCCGCATCTTCAGAAAGTCTACCACACGTTTGGGGTTGTTTTTTTTCTCATTTAAAAAACAAAAAATCCTTATACTGTATATCGCTGTGCATAAGCCGAGTTTTTCATACATAGAATGAGGGGTTTAAGAACAATGAAATCCAATATAGCACGCAGTTACTTCCCTTTACATGTGCACTGCTTTACTGTGCATCTTGTGATAGGTAAAGGCGGCATTTGGAGCTTGTATGCTTCTTTATGTAGGGAGGCCCTTTCCCAGATTGATGGTACACAACTGTTTGTTTGGTTACATACTAGTTTGAACGAGCAAAAAAAGAATAAAACACTGCCTGCCCGCACGATATTTTTAAAAGCCGCTGACTGACAACCAATTTATTATATTTTTTAAAGCCTAATATGTTTTTGTTTTTTTCCCACTTCCCAACAGGCTTTCACGGTAACAAAATGAGGGGGCCGTAGGATAGCCTAGTAGTTAAAGCGTTCGCCGATGACCCGGGTTCGATTCCCGACATGGGTACAATGTGTGAAGCCCATTTCTGGTGTCCCCTGCCGTGATATTGCTGGAATATTGCTAAAAGCGGCGTAAAACCATACTCACTCACTCATTCACTGTAACAAAATCTGCAAAGCACGTGGCAAAAAGGGGTGCCTTACGATGAGAGCAGAACTTTGAATATTACAATTTACAATGCAGCTTATTTTATTCAAGAAGCGTATGTATATGTTAATCATGACAGGATCTTTCTTCTGCAATTTTGCTATGTGTTTTTATCTATTTATTTCATCAGTTTATTATTTGGTAGCCATGAAACTATTGTTGTTTGGAGTTGGAAAATATTGTTCCTGTAAGTGTAACCTAAAATTCTCTCTGTAATTAGTGCATAAATCTATGTTTCAATATTGTCACGCAGACTCAAGTGTGCGCCATCCGCATGGGAGGATATATTAATTTATTCGTGGAGCTGTTTCTACAGATTTTCATTTTGTATTTTCAGTTTTTCCTGTTTTCATGATTTGAAACTGATGATCAGTGAGTAGTCACATGTTAAATGTCTCAATGTCCCCTCACATGTCAACCTGCCTTTTTTGGTTCAAAATGTTGTTTTTTTCTTTGGTTTATGGTTATTCAGATTTTTTAAAAATAATTGTTTTTTACTTTTGATATGATCTTTTGAAATAATGTTTCTGAAGTAAAATTAAACAACAGACATGAAAAAACAAGCTACTTGAACTGGTTCTGTAACAAGGAGTTACCTCCCTTCTCACTTCAGAAAGAAATTCAGAAGAAATTCACATTTCAGAAATCAAAGTTGTGGGGAAGAAATAGTAACTTTATTCAACCTTTTGACGAATTTTGGGTTGGCAGAGCTGTGAACCTAATAATAAGATTATAATGCCTCTGTCTCCATGATTGATACAGATGGAGGGAGGCTCCATCAGCCATAGACGTATCCTTGGCTGTGAACCAGCCATTGCTGTGACTGTCTGACCTGTTAGTGTTACCGATTCCTCTCACTCTGTGCCATGTTGACTGTGCTATGTAGTCTCTACATACATGAAGCTTATGCAATCTGTTGTCAGTGAGGTGGCTTTGTACCATATCAATTAAATGTCGTATCAAGAAACGAGAGATCTTATTTTCCTTTATTCAGTCATGCCAATTGTAACTGTTTCTGTAATAAATAATCAAATGTGCGATGGTGTGAGTTTTCTCAATACACTGCTGTGGGAACAGAATATGTCCCTGGCAGGTTTGCATAGATTTGGAAACACCTTGGCTATGGAGATTTTTTGTGAACATCTCTGGAATATCATATCAAGGTTATCTCCTTTGTCACTAACAGCATGTGCTGGTCAAAAGGGCGACCAAATGGATGGGGTGGTCATGCTCTGTGACTTGGATGATGGCGTGTCCTCGAACCCTTCCGCTTGGATCGTTGTTCACAATATCGATCACTGTATCGTTTGGTCCCGATTTGATTATTTCCAGGCCGCAAACTTGAACCGTATTCAAGAATAAGCACCCAGGGCGCTCTCAAAATTAGAAATAGGGGGCTCTTATTAGAATATAATTTTGGTGAAAGAGTTGAAAGATCGTAAATTTTGTGGTTTATGCTGACAGCCTGAAATGATACAAAAGAAAAGTTTGTGCGTATTATACATGACAGATATATTTCTCCAGAATTTTTTGCCCGTAATTAAGGGTGCATATAACACATCGAATACGGTAGCTGGAATATAGCCAAGTGCGGTGTTCATGTTCCGGGGCTGACAAGTTTGACCACATACACCAATCAATTAATAGTATTTGACAATGCTGATCGGTCTGAGCAAACACAACCTTGATCAAGAAAAATGCTAAATCTACCAAACACACATGTTGGTTGGTTTGTTGTTTAACGCCGCACTCAGCAATATCCAGCTATATGACGGCGGTCTGTAAATAATCCAGTGATTAAAATCATGAGCATCGATCCGCGCAATTGGGATCAATGACATGCATCAACCAAGTCAGCGAGCCTGACCACCCGATCCCGTTAGTCGTCTCTTGCGACAAGCATGGTTTGCTGAAGACCTATTCTACCCCGGAATCTTCACGGGTCCAAACACACATGTTCAATGTATAGAAAATAATACTGAATAAAACACAAATATACGACTCAAGGACCACCCGATTCTATATTTGTATTTATGAAATAATTGAGTGTCCAAACTTTTGAGTAAACTATTGATAAACAGACAAGGGCTTGGTTATGCACCAAAAAAAAGTGTCTCTGAAAATTCTTTAAAAAACTAATTATGCTTCAGATATACCGTAATTAATCTTAAGAAGACACAATAGCTGTAGCTGAAAATATATATAATCTTGATACAAAACCCCAGCCCCCACTCCCAAAATATCAAATGGTTGCTCCCTTATGGATTCTATAGTATTTCTTACGATTTTGTTTGTTGTTTAACGCTGCACTCAGCAATATGACGGCGGTCTGTAAATAATCGAGTCTGGACCAGACAACCCCGTGAGTACTATCATAAGCATCGATCCTCGCAATTGGGATCAATGACATGCATCAACCAAGTCAGTGAGCCTGACCACCCGATCCAGTTAGTCGCCTCTTACAACAAGCATAGTCGCCTATTACGTCAAGAATGGATTGCTGAAGACCTATTCTACCTCGGATCTTCACGGGTCTATTTCTTTTGAAAGCACTGTATCGGGATAGAAATTATATCGAAAACCTTAGTATCAGAATATATATCTAGCGTGATCCCACTGTATCGTTACACCTCTATTGTTCAGTATCATTAAGTCTTCTGTCCTTTGAACATGTTAAAAATGTTCTTACATATGGCAATATTTCAGTGCCATTGTTGATCTTAATTTCATTCAAGTACAATGCATGACAAGACAATTCATTCATATTTCAACATATTTATTTTTCAAAAATTCAAAACTGCACAATCCAAATATAAGCCAACACCTTCATGTGGCAACAGTGCTGTTTGCAGTAACCATGGTAACCAAGGTGAGGGGACAGCTAATTAGGAGGAAGCTATATACAATAATACTGCGCTTGTGCTCAATATGCTTCTATGTACAAACTACAATTCTGGGCCCCATTTCACAAAGCGATCTCAGCGCTAAGGTGATCGTAACTACATAATTTAACAGACTTACAAGAGTCGTAGCTCTGCGATCAGTTTGTGTAACGTGGCCCTGTACACAAGCCTTGTCAATAGTTCAATTAAGCTGGAAAAACACAAGAAAACCATTCTGTTTTGACCCCGCTTCCTCCAAATATAACCAAATTGATGACAGCCTGTAAATAATCGAGTCAAGCCAGGACAATGCAGTGACAATCCTCGCCATTAGGGTACGATGACACGCTGTCGACCAAGTCAATGAGCCTGACCACCTGATCCATTAAGTCACCTCTTACAACAAGCATAGGTTGCTGGGGACCTATTCTAACCCGGAATCCCCCAAATGACACGCAATCGACCAAGTCAATGAGTCTGACCACCTGATCCATTAAGTCACCTCTTACAACAAGCATAGGTTGCTGGGGACCTATTCTAACCCGGAATCCCCCAAATGACATGCTATCGACCAAGTCAATGAGCCTGACCACCTGATCCATTAAGTCACCTCTTACAACCAGCATAGTCACCTGTTACGGCAAGCATGGGTTGCTGAAGACCTATTCTAACCCGGAATCCCCCAAATGACACATTACAGACCAAGTCAGCGAGCCTGACCACCTGATCCATTAAGTCACCTCTTACAACAAGCACAGGTTGCTTGGGAGCAGTTCCAACCCAGCATCCCCCGGGGCCAAAATTTCAGTAATAATGCAAAATGTATCTATGGACATGATGGATATACATCATTGTACGCAACATGGTTTGAAATGGTCCAGAGTGGCTTGCCCCCCACTCAACTGCCTGAATTAAATGCTTTCGTAAGAAAATGAAAAGTTTAATTACCAAAGTAGATACAAAATACTTTATTAGTAGCATCAAACAAACATGGTGGATTGGTGTCCAGTATAATGCATCAGTACCATAAGGTTAATGTGTAAACTAATTAGGTTCTCAATCACCCCGCCCTGTAAATGATAAACCTTTTGTTCTTTCAGCTTCATTAATCTTCTGACAGGACCTTGTAACATTTACATGTGGTTCATCAAAAGCAAGGAGTGAGTGAGTGAGATGGGTTTTTCTCCGCTTTTAGCAACATTCCAGCAATATCATGGCGGGGTACACCAGAAATGGGCTTCACACATTGTACCCATGTGGGGAATCAAACCCGGGTCTTCGGTGTGATGAGCAAATGCTTTAACCACTAGGCTACCCACCGCCCCCAAAAGCAAGGAAGGCAGAGAATATTAACAGGAACCTATATCATTATTTTATCTCCTATATACTACTCAAAAGAAGTTACAGATCACCCCGTCATGGCAAATTAACGATTGTCATATGAAGAAATAGGATGTTCTTTAACTTCTTTTGAGCAGTATATCATATTTCCAAGTGGTGATTCTGTATTCTTCTTGACTACTTCAATTAAACATCATGGACTTAAGAAACACTATTCTCAGTCATTTGTTGTTTTTTTTCAAAAATATTTGTAAAAGAATAAAATAAACTATCTTTTTAACTCTTACCAAATAGTAGCCCTTTTCTAAACAATGTCCTTTCAACATACAGTACATTAATACAGTATAACTTTGTTAAAAAACCAACCATATCCACAAGTTTGGTCTTCTGAATACCTATTCTAAAACAGAATCAAGCAAATCTTGACAATCATATCCTAGACGAGATATTGTAAAAGTGGTATCACCATCCAAGCCCTGTGGAAGTACCCAGGTTTAACTGTACCGACAACCAGGACCAACCAGAACCAACTGGAACTAACCCGGACCAAACCAGGCCAACATGACAACAGCTGCAAGCAAGATACGCGTTGGTGTGCAGGTGACATGGCAATTCATAAACAACATTACACATCATGACACAATATCATTCGCACCTTGTAAGGAAATTAGCATGATGGCTTACAAAAGAAATTTGAATAATAGAAGGTTTTAAAGAGGGATTGGAAATTAACAAAGTTCACAAGTCTGAGGCCAATTTCAGGAAGGATTTGCGACAATTCCCAGAGCTACTACTTGACTATTAGGTATATGGCAATTCTGAAGCAGAATATTTCTGTGGACAAGGGAAAACTAATATCAATTTCTATCACTGACTAAGATCTTGTGTGTGAAAGTAAGCATGAGCGTCAAGGGGTCCTAATGTCATTACACTAATGTTAACAGTTAAACAAGGAGACCTCAAGGACCCAAGAAGACCTCAAGGACCCAGAAGACCTCAAGGACCCAGAAGACCTCAAGGACCCCAGGCTTAAAGGACACTAGAAGGCCTCAAAGACCACAGAAGACCTCAAAGACCACCAGACCTCAGGCCACCAGGAGACCTCAAGGACCCAAGAAGACCTCAAGGACCCAAGAAGACCTCAAGGACCCAAGGACCTCAAGCACCACAAAAGACCTCAAGGCCACCAGGAGACCTCAAAGACCCTAGGACCATCCCTATTTTGGAACACTGTCATATTAATATTTAATCATGTAATGTCATATATTATATCATATCATATAGCTTAAGGTGCCTGGTGAATCTTTTTGACCTTATTAGCAGACTTACTAGCAGGGCTGTGACTTAACACTTGATGTCTTTCCATGTGTATTCTTACTGTTAGCTAATGAACACAATGAACTTGAACGATGTTGAAGAAAACATGAACTGATATAATTAAAAATTATCATGTAAACCATGAACGTCATCTGTACAGTAACCAATATTTAGAAATATAAATAGTATCATAACAATAGTAACAGAAAAACAACTAACTGTCAGGTTCAATCAAGGCTTAAGTTCTGTCACTTCGCTAGGGTAGCCACAACTGCCACTTTCCAAAGCTGTCATACAAGATCAAGGCAGTTACCTGGCCAATGCTTGAATAGCATGCTTAACACCACTTTGAACGGTATTTGTGCAATTAGGGCATGTTGGAGGAAAGCCCTCAGTGACATTGGTCGTAGATGTTGAAATCCTTTGTCTACAAACCAAGGATCATAACCGGATTGAATCTCTGATTTGCACCCTTGATCAGCAGATCCTGGACTGGGTAAGGGAAGCAAAATCAGTACATAATTATGTTACAATATACGAATTCCTGTCCGCCTTGTTCCCCACATGCTAAGTGATGCAAGGTTTCTAGGTCAATCTCCTCTCACAGATTGTTTAGCATGATTCAGGGCACAAAATATTAATTACTTCCTCCACAGATTTTTCCAAATTACCATTACAAGAGTTTGTTTTTTTAATTTTCAAGGTATTTATTTCCCTGCCAGATGGAAATAACCATGATAACAATGTCTCATTGATCAGTGATCTTTGAATTAGGTCTTACAGTGCTTACTCATCTACATCTTGATGCAATATTGGAAATTGTTTTGAAGTAAAAGCATAGTATGATGTGCCTTTTACCATGTTTACTAGTGTTATTAAAGTTAAGAAAATTTGCCAAAGCAGACAAGCCACATCCTGAAGAAGAAATAATTAATTTGTTGTGACCTGATGCTTGTTTTGTAAACGAGGCGTCCACATTAGATCATTGCACATAATGTAACGCACATCATGGCACTCTCATCAAGGAAAGAGTTCATCCAAGAAGTCTGCTACTCTTCCTATACAAAAGACGACCAGACAGAAGTCCCCAAGAATTGTCCTGACGAAAGCAGATAACATCTACAGGGAACGTTGACCATAGAACTCACTTCTCTAAACCTTTAGTTAAGGAAACTCTGTCTTTGGGTAGAGTCTCGAGAGCATTCTTTCCATGAGCTTTGATAACGTGTCTTTTCCTATTGGAGGAATCCCCAAAGCTGCGATCACACAAGTGACACTTAAACGGCAAGGAACCTGTATGGGTGAGCATGTGACGTCTCCTTTGGTCAGAACGCTTGAACAGCTTGCCACATCTCGTACATGAGTAAGGCTTCACGTTGCTCTGGTTCCTCATGTGGGCATTCAGGGCTCGCCTCGTGTAGAACACCTTGCCGCAGTGATCACACTTGATAGTGCCCTGGCCAGTGTGCGTTCTCATATGAACCGTCAGATCGTATGACACTTTGAAGGACTTCTCACACTCCGGACACTTATATGGCCGTTCTCCTGTGTGATCCCGCATATGAACATTCAATCTGGATTTACGGAAAAATTCAGCGTTGCATATTTTGCAATATATGGCTCCCTCCTTTGTATGCTTCTTGTTATGAAATCGAAGAGTCACTCTGTGTTTGAAGCGCAACCCACAAACACCACAACAGAATCTCTTTTCTTCCTCTTCCTTCTTTATCACTGGATGCGGTACTTTCGGTACCCTCGCCACATAATTATTTGATTTATTGGAAATATCGGAATTGGCATCATCCAGCGAGGGGTCCTCCTCCGACTCTTCTTCCACTGGATCAACAGAGATGTCTTCCACCATCTCCACCGTCAACTTCCCAGGGTCGTACATCGTGGGCAGCAGCTGAACGGCCTCACTCTGGTTCACCAGCATCTCGAGGCCGTTCCCTGCAGACTCAACCGAAGTGGACGCGCTTGGAATGGAATCGACCTCAACCTTGGCTGCATTTTTGTCCCCTTCATACTCAAGCACGTAGCATATTGACGGATTGTCCTCGAACACAACATACACCTGTTCCGAACTAGCCGGTGTATTCTGGACACTTGAGTTCGCAACTACTTTGACGGGAACACCGGACAGGTTGTCGCTGAAAGATATCATCTCTTGAACCTGCTGTGGAATTCCTTCCACTGTTTTACACTGAACCAAACTCTTAGTTTTACCCTTCAGGTCTACAACACTGCTTTCCCCACATCTATTATCCAAATCCTCGTACGCATTCAAAACCTCAGCAACCAAAGCCTCTCGTTTCACTTTAAATTTAGGTGGTGGTGGTAGGTCTTTCATGACCGAGACTTTTGAAGCTCTGGGTTTGTAATTCACAGGAAGCGCATCAGCACAATCATGGTACTTTTTCATGTGGCGGTTCCGATTCGCCCAATCAGCAAAGTTGATTTTACACTTAGTACACTCAAAAGGTTTTAAACCAGAATGGAGTTTTCTATGAAGTCTCATGTTGCTGACTCGGTTGAAAGTTTTTCCACAGATGTCACAGGAGAAAGGTCTGACCTTTGTGTGTGTGCGGACATGGTTGCATAGCTGGGAGAAACTGATGCATCTCTTGTAACAGTACTTACAATGTAAAACACTGGACTTAGAAACTCGCTGCTGTCCTTTGCTCTCGAGAAGCATCAACTCAGGGTGCTTCCGAACGTGAATTTCCAATTTGGATGGATCTCGAAAAGGCTTGTTACAAATGTAACACTTCGACAGCGGTTCGTGAACCTTCTTGTGTCGGGACAGGTCACTGGGTTTGAAGAAGTTCTTGTTACAGATGCTGCACCAGTGTCGATGTCCAACTTCATGGACCTTCTCGTGATGCTTCAAGCTCTTCTCAATCCTGTACTCCTTTTCACAATATTTACATTTGAAACTTCTTAAGTCATCCTTGTGCCTCTCTTCGCGGGCAATGTGACTCTTCTTATGGTTAGCTAGCTGAGACGGTTTCACAAAACCCTTCTTGCATATATCACAATACAGAAGGTTCTCAGAGTCGTGTGTTCTTTCATGATACTTCAAACTTTTCATAATTGCATACCTCTTCCCACAATATTTGCATGCATGAGCATTTTCTAAATCTTCACCTTCATTTTCGACATTCTTTTTTTTTCTAACAACAGGACCCTTGGAAGCCTCCTTTTTAATCTTGCGCCCTTTCTTCTTTTTCTTTTTCTTTGTTCTGAGGGTTGGATCTTTACTTACACCCTCTGCTGACACCAACAACTGTGTCTCAACTTTTTCACTTTTGGTAATCTGGCTCGCCAGAAGGGTAAGGTCACTTATTCCTGCTTCAGCTCGACCTTCTGCTAGAACCTGAATTGCTGCCCGTTCTTCAGGACTTTCACAATCCACCTTTTCTTGCTTGATGTTGATCAAAATGTCTGCAATATCAAGATCTTCATTTTGACTAGGCCGTCCCCGAACCAAGTCCCCAACTTTGCCAACCCACACTTCAACTGGATCTGGATCTCCAGCACCACCTTCTGGATCTCCAGCACCACCTTCAGATGGAGTCACCATCTCAACATCTTTCTCAACATCACCACCATCCTCTCCAACTCTCCCAACCTTAATTGAAGTTATCTCCCCTGCATTATTTTTCCTGACAGTTACTATTTCTGATCCTTTCTTACCATCGCCATCCCCTTTTTCTTCCAATGCATTTTCTTTCACATGATCACTTTCATTTTGCATTCCTGCATCCAGCATGACCATGAATTTTTGGGAATCCGCTTCAGTCAGAATGACTTGTCCCGAAATGTCAACGCCTTCTTCAGAATCAGGAACAGATTTTTCTTGCTGGATGACAGCTTCTGAAGGCTGAGAGACAGAAGTCTCTTTGTCTTTGCTAGTCTCTCCTTCTTTGCTAGTCTCTTCGTCTTTGCTAGTCTCTTCGTCTTTGCTAGCTAGGGCATCTTCTTCAGTTGTTATCTTGCCGGCTTCATGTGTCACAATGTGACTGTAACATTCCTCCTGGGATGAGAACAAGTTGAAGCAGACGCCACATCGGTAAAGAGTTGAGGACAGGAGAATGGAATTGGAAGACATGTTGTTCAATTTGGCATCAATGTGCTAACGGAGAAACCATCTCTGAATTGAGGCATTTGGGATTGAACGCAAATGTCACAACTGTTGTGATCTTGAACAGCCACAGTTCAGCATGAAGTACCTGGAAAAGAAGGTCAAACAACTTCTAAAACATGACTTCATCTGATTACAAAATCCAATATATTGGAGAAATACCAGGAAAACGACCATGATTATCATATTGACAGAGTGTTGGTTGGTTGGTTTGTTGTTTAACGTCGCACACAGCAATATTCCAGCTATATGGCGGCGGTCTGTAAATAATCGAGTCTGGCCCAGACAATCCAGTGATTAATATCATGAGCATCGATCGACGCAATTGGGACCGATGACATGCATTAACCAAGTCAGTGAGCCTGACCACCCGATCCCGTTAGTCGCCTTTTACGACAAGCATAGTCACCTTTTACGGCAAGCATGGGTTGCAGAAGACCTATTCTACCCCGGAATCTTCACGGGTCTATTGACAGAGTGAGTTTGAGTTAATGCCACTTTGAACAGTATTTCAGCCATGTCTCAGCATGGGAGGAAAGCTTAAAGTAATGAAAATAATAAATGTTTACAACCTAGAAACATAATCATGGCTATCACATTGATAGTTAACTAATACCCTTACTATTAAATGTTATCAGCCATTGTTGAGTAACAAGTAAAACATATTATCATATAAGTTCATGATGTTGTCTTGAGTGAGTGAATGTTATATAATGCCACAATCAGCCTTGTTTTTGGTATATCATGGAAGCTTGTAAAAAGTCTGTCTCAAATTTCATGTTAATGTGTTTGTCCTATTCTAATATTATTCTGTTCTTATTAATAATATAAAAGATTTCTTACAATTTGAAACCTGATTAAAAATCAAAGTCAAGAGATGGACTTTCCCTGCTGGGATACAGGGACAAACACAATCATATTGTCAGGCAACTGTTATACTTTTAAATTATCTGTCAAGTTTGGACATAATGAAGTCTGTTTTAACAAACCAACAAACCAACTGCAATTTAGGCTAGGCCTCGGTGGATTCTTCTGTCGTATTTGATATATTTTATTTCTGATAAAACAGAAACAATAATGACTCAAAGGCAGTTAATGCATTCTTTTTTTGGATCTTTCGTTATATTTTATATGTATGATGAAACCAGAACATTCCCTAAGTCCAAATATCTCCCTTACAACAGGTGAAGGAGATTTGTTTGTTTGTTGTTTAACCCTGCCCTCAGCAATATTCCAGCTATATGACGGCCGTCTGTAAATAGTCGAGTCTGGACAAGATAATCCCGTGATTGACATCATGAGCGGGTGCAGGAGAAAATGGCCCCTAATCTTGAAGACACAAATCCTAAGTGATTATTTTTTATTAACAAAACTCTGTCGTATGTGTCATGATCTCTGTTTTTGCATGTGACAATGGATACCACAGACTCATTTTGTTGTAATTAAAAAAAAAAATAATAATACATAAGTGTGACCATTTTCACCATATTCACTGTATTTGGGGCCATGTTCTCCTAAATGGCTGGGGTCATTTTTGCCAGGGGACATTTTCTCTAAAACAGCACAATAAAATGACTAAGTCCAAAGTCATAATCACCTCTACCAGATCTAGTAATACTATTGCTGTGTAACCACATTTGTGGTTTATGCAATACTGGGCGAGTTGACACAATTTCAAAACACAGCATTATCGTCTTTCGTTTTAAAAAAAATCCTATAAGGGGTAACTCAGTCATAATTAATTGCGTCGCTTTCGAGAAATTACTGAAGTAACAGTCCGACCTTACTGTTGTTAGAAAAAGACGCAGTTCAGCGTTCAGTCTCTCGTTACTCCTTCCAAGAACCACTGGGGCAGAAACGTCCCAGTTTCTTGACCAGTCAATTACTGTTAAACAGGTCATTTGAACAGCTGAAATATTCGTGTCCACTTTTTAACGTTATACATATACATTTTATGAATAAATGCTCATTGTGGCTGTATAAATATTTACCTAAATAGCAAACCTCAGCACAAGGAAGAAATACAAAATAACGAACGTTGAGGACGCGTGCGCTCTCCTCGACTGGTCCTGGGTCTCCTGTGCGCATGCGTCAATATCCTAATCGAATCAAGTCATTGCGGGATAAAACAGCTACAACACAGTGAACGAAATATCCATGAGCGTATAACCGTGAGCTTGAAGCCATTTGCGGTGACATTAATTGTTCTTTAACACATTGGTCAAAGCATTTTTCGCACATATTCGCAACCATATATTACAACTGAGGCGCCATTGAAATATACATTTATTCATTTACTTCGGCGCTTTCCGAATTTTTACATCTATCGAATACCACCGTACGGATTTTAACAATACACAGAAAGGGACGTAACTTCGCCAGCCTGTGAAAGCCCAGCTTGTGAAAACGGTTGCCAAAACACTGTGCGTATTATCAGCTGGTTGTTATTGAGACATTGTATGCAAAACTAGAGCCTAGCGTATAATTACCCCAATTGATCGTTGCAACTCTGAATCATAAGACACAGTAATTCGTAGCTGTACTCAAATAAAAATATAATTGTGTTTTATGACCTGTGTCACATAGTATGTGACCATTGGCATGGATTGATTAGCTTCCTCGTCAGACCCCAGTTTCTACTTCGGCCGTAGCACATACGGCGATACAATGGGCTATGAAATATAAAATAATTTAAATATATTTGTGTTCAACAATGAATTCATGAGCACAGACAGAAGCATAAATCATGAATTTAGTGAAAGGATGAGACTTCCATTTCAAATCTACTGCCTTAAAATCTTCTCTTTTTCTCAAAATGTAGTTGTATGAATATTGTGATTTAAAAAAAAAAGGTGATAGATCTAGTTCTCTGTAGATGAATTGGTTCAACAACAAGTCATTCGAGCTACCGGCTTCGGCCATGTTTTTATCATGTTTATCAGGGGCAAATTGAAGAACTTGTGGATTTATCTTTGGGATGAGTAAAAAAATACTAATTGTCAGCTTGATTGGATTAATAGCCAGTGTTTATCAAAGCCTAGAGTACAATATATATGCCTTCGCTTCATGGAGCCAATCATGTTGCAGAAGCGGGGGCACGGGTGGCCCAGTCGTCTTAGGTGCCGCGATTCGCTGTGCAGAGTTGCGTCCCTTGGGCACGCCAGAAACCTATGATTGTGGGTTTGAATCACGGTTCGCCCTGATTATGTTTCTAGGTTTTTCAGCACTATACCAGTGCTCGTTGGTTTCATCGAAGTGGTAAACGTCTGAGACCTGCATCACTTCGGGTTTTCCTCCAACATGAAGCTTACACGCCTTGATATAACTGGAATACTGTTATAAGCGGCATTAAACCCAACTCACTCACTCACTTATGTTGCAGAAGCAAGGAAGGGCCTGCTAATGAGCCTAGCTCCCATGACCCATGAAGATCCAAGGGTAGAACAAGTCTTCGGCAACCCATGCTTGCCGTAAAAAGCAACTTTGCTTGTCGTAAGGGGAAGCATGTCAAGACTCATGATGGAAACAAGGCGTTCAACAGTTTTCTAAAACGAGCCAAGGATGTGGGACATAATCTCAATGTCAGTGTTGATTTTGTTGATGGTTCTGTACTGCTGGACGGTACTGAGTGTCAACCAAGCGAAGTGCCATATCAAATTGGGCCAGACTCATTTTTTCAAGGAGAGGCTATCTGAACGACCACTGCATCGAGTTTATGTGCAGTGTGTTGAGAAGGTCAGCAACCCTGTGGAGTCCTTCGTTTGGATGAAGAGTGGCTGGCCTGAAAAGTGAAACAGAAGGCTTTCTGTTTGTGGCTCAGGACCAGTCACTTCCCACTCAAAACTGTCAATGTGTGATTTTGTATCAAAATGTAAATATGAATTGTAGATTATGTAATGAATTTAATGAGACTGCCCAACACATTGTCAGTGGATGCCCAGCTTTGGCACAAACACAGTGTCTTAAGCGACATGGTGGAGTGGCTCGATCATTTTATTACCGTCTTCATAATGCTTGCAGATGTCCATCCATGGTACAACCCAGAATATGTAGAGGGCGTCATGGAAATGATAGATTTTATACCTCCCAATCTGTTGACTGACATTGGGAGAGTACCCGGGTTTGCTACCAAGGAATACAGCACTTCTGACAATCTGGGTAATGCAGAAGGCTGCAGTGTTAGGGAGTCTTCACCTTCTCCGAAAAGTTCTGGGTGGGTTTGAAGAGGCAGAGCTTCCTGGGAGAAGTCCCATTCACTGTCTGGGCTGCGTGTAGAGGGGGCAAGGGCCCGGAGCTGATGATGAGCCTAACCAGCCTGACTGTTGCCAGGATCACCCAAACCCTCTTTGCTGCATTTTTATGTTAATCTGTAATAATAATAATAATAATAATAATAATCCACACCCTATCGTATGCTCAAAGCACAACATACTAATCAGGAATTAGGCAAATGATAGCTCAACACAGCTTGGCACATGGAGCTCCTGAAAAAGGGTCGTGTGCAGCCCGTGTAAGACTATGTACAACTTATCAATTATGACCAATTCAAACAATTTTGAAGTACTAGGTTTTAACCTTTAGATCTCTTGGTTGTACCTAATTATGAGTTATGTTTAATAGTATTTGTTTAAGAATACTGATCATGTACTTAAGAAATAAATGACGAGTGGGAGTTGTTTACGATAAACAACAAGCAGTCATTTATTTGATTTACGAGATACCAAAACTACGTACTGCGTCGTTAAAGATATTAGTAAAAATATTGAAAATATTTACCCTTACTTTAGTAATAGCGACTCCCTGAATAGAATCCGACCGTGGCAATGTCGGACAAGTCCAAGTTATGAACTGCGGGTTTGAATTTGGGCTTTCCCGCATATTCTCACAATTTTCACACCGATCATCTGTACCTTTTCTCCCAATACCAATTGTCCTGTCTCTCCTACACATAGATGTGATCGTTCGGCCACTGTGTTTATCTGCGTAGCGCAGCTACATCTATGGGGAACAACTTACCAGACACTTCCCTCTCAAAAATAATGTCGTCCAATATATGACGGCATCAAGTTGCAAGCGCAAGTTCGAATCTCCAGAAATGATGTCATGATAGAACAATGTTTTATTGTGAAATAAACCATGCTTCGTTCTTCATTGTTCTTTGCGATTTATCTTATATATAACATTAACACTTTATACATTGTTTTGCAGAGATTCGAGATGGTATGAGGAGCAGGCATTCTGATGTGAAGATGTCTGAACAGAAAGGGTATCACAACGAACAAACAGAGAACATCTACCGATGTGGGGTGTGTTTTGAGAATTTCTCCACAGAGCAAATGTGCTATGATCATGTGCTTTCTCATGGAAGCAAGGATGAACGAACTCAAACCAAAATGACAACGATAAAGCCAGGCAAATCACAGGAAACCCTCACTGCAATACACAATAAAAAATCAATAAAAAAGGAACACGGATCCCTAAAATGTGATTGTTGTGAAACATTCTTCTCAAACATCTTGAAGTTGAAATGCCATCTCCAGCATCAAAGAACAGTTAAAGAATTTCATTGTCGGTTCTGTAATATGCTCTGCCGGAAAATGTCTGAGTTGATGACACATCTGCGTACCCATACAAATGAACGACCATTCAAATGTGACCTGTGCAAGAAAGCATTTAAGAGAAACACACATCTTGTCCAGCACAGGAAACTACACTCTGGTGACAAACCGTTTATATGTTCGCAGTGTAAGGCAGCGTATGCTGACAAATGCAACCTGAACAGGCACGTTAAGCTGTATCATAAACACTCTGATCAGACTCTAAAAAAATTCCGAAGCAGGAAGTCCCGAGTTTCAATTGTGGATAATCCTGTCACTCATTCATCTGTAGATGAGAAAGGCTCAGAGAAAACAAACGAAGGAGATTCAAGTGTTACTGAAAATGTTCACCAACTTGAACAGACAAGTACCCCGAAAGACTCTGGTGTGAAAGCGCTTGTATCATCAGGGAAAAAGGTTTCATTTAAACCCTGTTCAGATTTGACTTACTCCAAGAAAGACATCTTTGAGAAAGAGGAAAGAGAGGCGACTTCTCCTACAGATGATGCAACTGACTCTAAGCATATTCCGATGTTCAATGAAAAAGACAGGACGGAAACAGTTTATGTGAGGATTGGGGAAACATGTTTGGTGTTGTCAGTGCATTGCGAAGACAAGATCTCCAAGAGCCCTGTTGTTGTAAGAACTGACAATGGTATGCTGATACCCCGAGAACCGGATGGTGAGGATGTTCTGATGTCTCAAGAATCTGAAGATGGTAATGTGGTTCTGTCCCTAGAGTCTGGAGAAACTGGTTCTCATACTAAAAGTATTAACAGGACTGACAAGGACACATCCAAGTTCCTTGTCTGTCATATGTCTGAGAACAGGGTTAGCTCCGGGCAATCTAAGCTTGCTGTCTGTGATTTTAAGAAGATCAAAGCCGCTCATACTCTGGAGTCAGGAAAATGTTCTCCTGGATGGAAAGCCAGATCAGCCACGCCAAACAAAGCTGATGCCGAACATAAAGTAATGTTTCCTTGTGTTATAAATGCAGACAAAAAGACACATGACACTCCACAGGCTGTTGTTCCTCTTGGTCGTGCAGGTCATTGTGGAGCTGGTTCAACACATGACACTCCACAGGCTGTTGTTCCTCTTGGTCGTGCAGGTCGTTGTGGAGCTGGTTCAACACATGACACTCCACAGGCTGTTGTTCCTGTTGGTCGTGCAGGTCGTTGTGGAGCTGGTTCAACACATGACACTCCACAGGCTGTTGTTCCTGTTGGTCGTGCAGGTCGTTGTGGAGCTGGTTCAACACATGACACTCCACAGGCTGTTGTTCCTGTTGGTCGTGCAGGTCGTTGTGGAGCTGGTTCAACACATGACCCTCCACAGGCTGTTGTTCCTGTTGGTCGTGCAGGTCGTTGTGGAGCTGGTTCAACACATGACACTCCACAGGCTGTTGTTCCTGTTGGTCGTGCAGGTCGTTGTGGAGCTGGTTCAACACATGACACTCCACACGCTGTTGTTCCTGTTGGTCGTGCAGGTCGTTGTGGAGATGGTTCAACACATGACACTCCACAGGCCGTTGTTCCTCTTGGTCGTGCAGGTTGTTGTGGAACTGGTTCAACACATGACACTCCACAGGCTGTTGTTCCTGTTGATATCAAGGATGCTGCTCTTAGATCAGGGAATGTGACATGCAGTCAGGTTTCAGTTGTCCTGAGAACAAAGAAGGGTGACACGGATACAACTTCTCAGAATTTTGTGGAAGACCAGAAAAGACATGTTAATCTTATGAAAGAATCACCTGTTATTCCTGTAAGTAGTATTGGACAAGGACTAAAACCTCCACAGAAGGAACTAGAACTGGACTCGGGACAAAGTGCTGTTGGCTGTGAACATGGACATGGACATCCAGAGCAGCAAAAAACATATAGTGTCATTTACGAGTGTGGTTATTGTGGCAAGAAAATGAAAACGGAAAGCACCTTGAAGTACCATGTCCGAACTCACACCAAGGATCGAGCTATAAGGTGCAACATCTGTGAGAAGGACTTCTACAAGCCTTCGACCTACGATGTCCACATGCGTTCCCACACAGGCCTGAGGCCCTTCTGCTGTGGGATATGTAAAAGGAAGTACCGAGACAACTCCACTCTTCGCTCGCATATGAAACTGCATACAGGCCTCAATGTGTTCTCCTGCAGCGTGTGTAAGAGGGTCTTTCCAAAGCAGACGGAACTAAACAGCCATTTTAGTATACACACTGGAGACAGGCCTTATTTGTGTCAGATGTGCCCCAAAACATTCCGGACACGGCACAGCTTGTGTCGTCATGTCCGATGTCACACAGGAGATAAACCCTATCCGTGCCCACACTGTGATCTTAGATTCAGGGATACGTCAAACAGGAAAAAACATATACTAAAGCACCATAACCTGGACTCTTTACAAGCTGCTGTTTAGGGACCCCCACCATTTAGTATTCTTTGTAGGGTGCGGGTGGGGAGAGTTGCTGGGATTTTTGTAGTGTTTTTTTGGTAAAGCCCGTGAACAAATTGTTTAGTTCTAGTTTTCTCTCTGGCTCTCTCTCTCTCTCTCTCTGGCTCTCTCTCTCTCTCTCTCTCTCTCTCATATCATATCATATCTCCAATGCGTGGATCACCACTCGTGATGTCATTGATGGGATTGTCTGGTCCAGATTCAACTATTTATTTACACACCACCGTCATGTAGCTTGAATATTGCTGAGTGCGGCATTAAACAACAATTTCTTTTAAGAAGTAATGTCACCACACCAATCTGGGCTGGTACAAGATACCAGTTTTTGCACATTACCACATACATGTATATGGGTCATTCTCCAAAAATGTCAGAATTTCAACTAAGCAAAAACATCAAAATTGTCTTTTGTAAAATTCCTTTTTTATTGACTCAGTACACAAAGTAACTTCTGAATAATAATGTTAAGCAAAATGACACCTTAATAATCAATGATGACCTAATTATGATAATTAATTAACACTGAATAGGAAAAATATGTCTCTCCTGTTACCATGTTAACAATTATATTTTCTGTAACAATATTTTTCAAAGTTCAACACAAATCATGTCAGTTCTTGTTTTTAAATGTATTGTTTAATATTTCAATGAGTACAATTAAAAAGAGATTGGAAACATTATTTTATGGACAGATTTGTCCAGCATTTGAGTCAAATGAAAACATTTGAATTCATTCAAATCCAATATGACAAACATACCCTGATTATTGCATCATATATTTGACACATATACTTCATTAGATGATATATGTTTGAATTCAAATATGTTCTTCTGAAAAAAATAAAAAAATAATCAGTATATTTCTATTTTAAGTGCTGGTAACAGGACAGACAATGTAGTAACAGGACGGACAATTGAAAGTAACAGGACAGACAATCGGCTTTGATTGCAGATAACTATAACGTTCAGGAGTTTCAGGATTTTGAAATATCTGACAAATACGAAAAAAGTATGTGCAGTTGATTACACCTGAACATATAAGGTGTAATTAACTGAATATTCTTGTATGTAATCTGAACTATAGAAATCGGTCGGTAACAGGACGGACAATTGAAAGTAACAGGACGGACAAACTTATGTTTGCAGTCAACTATCCTGTTCAGAAGTTCAAAGTTTTGAACTCTGACAAATAAGAAATGTTTTGCTTAATTAACAGTATCTGATCATATGGATGTTATTAACTGAATGTTCTTCTATGTAATCTGAATGTAGGATACTGGTAGGTAACAGCACAGACGGAAGTAATGCCAAAGACAATCACTTTTGCATTTTGGGTTAATCCCTAGAATAACAAAGAATTTAAATTGATTTAAACTTACACTAAATAGTCATGTGACAGTTTTTGTCTTGAAGCAACAACATAATAACCGAATTTATCCATGTCAAACATCAACATAATCTGGAGAAAAAAACTTGTCAGAAGATTTCCTGTTGAAGCTGTATTCTTTTGCAAATGTATTAGCAAATACTCAAATAAACAGTCTCAATGGGTGAATTATAGTTTCCTTAAAAGTACAATTCACTTGTATCTATGATTATTTGATTAGTGCCAGAATTAAATGATGCCTTTCATTCACCCAGAAACCACAGGTTGTTTATTGTTTCTGTTTTATCATATCTGCAATAGCTTCCCAGTAAATATTTTCAACACTGAAGTGGGAAGCAGTGCCTTCAATCTTCTTTCGTTCAGGAATGATTGTGATAATGTCCTCATGCTTGTACGAGCATTTGTCCAGCAGGAGTCTTGGCCAGAAGAATCATTTTTGATCCCATTTTTTGCCAGGCTTGTGCATGCATTGCACATATATATCATAGGCAGAAACATCTATGTATCCAGGATATGGAAAACCATCATATAACACAACAACACATTTTCCAAGACACTCTTCTGTATCATCTGGAACGGATAGTAAAATGTCACTCTCACTTTTCTCAACCTCACCCTTCTCCACCACACCACCTGCCCTCTCCACACTTTTCACAACCTCACCCTTCTCCACCACACCACCTGCCCTCTCCACACTTTTCACAACCTCACCCTTCTCCACCACACCACCTGTCTTCTCCACACTTTTCTCAACCTCACCCTTCTCCACCACACCACCTGTCTTCTCCACACTTTTCTCAACCTCACCCTTCTCCACCACACCACCTGTCTTCTCCACACTTTTCTCAACCTCACCCTTCTCCGCCACACCACCTGTCTTCTCCACACTTTTCTCAACCTCACCCTTCTCCACCACACCACCTGTCCTCTCCACACTTTTCACAACCTCACCCTTCTCCACCACACCACCTGTCTTCTCCACACTTTTCTCAACCTCACCCTTCTCCACCACACCACCTGCCCTCTCCACACTTTTCACAACCTCACCCTTTTCCCCATCACCACCTGTCTTCTCCACACTTTTCTCAACCTCACCCTTCTCCACCACACCACCTGTCTTCTCCACACTTTTCTCAACCTCACCCTTCTCCACCACACCACCTGCCCTCTCCACACTTTTCACAACCTCACCCTTTTCCCCCTCACCACCTGTCTTCTCCACCCTTCTGTTGTTTTTTCATCAGATATTAACTATCTTCAACAAAGTAGTCTATTTTTTTATGTATATATGTTTTCTTCTAAACTGCATAAATTTGAAAACATATCTCTTAATGTTTCATAACAAATAAGAATATTTAGTGATTGGATAAGAAAAGTTAGATAAAGATGACCAAATGTCTGTGCTGTTACTTTTAAGTCTTAACCATTTCTTTTTTATTTAGCTTGGAAGATTTGTACAGCCATAGCCTCTTGAATGCCTGTGTTATTTCAAAGGAATTATTTGTGTTAATATGGTAATTATATTATTGATTGGTTATACGAGTCTTACTAGGAAAGACAATTAAGGTGATGATAAGTCTGTGCTGTTACCATGGAATGTCTGTGCTGTTACTTTTTCATCAGATAACTATCTTCAACAAAGTAGTCTATTTTTTATGTATATGTTTTCTTCTAAACTGTGACAAATTTGAAAACATGTCTTAATGTTTCATAAAATTTGAATATTGAGTGATTGGACAAGAATAGTTAGATAAAGCTGACCAAATGTCTGTGCTGTTACCAATATTTGTCTCTGCTGTTACTTTTAAGTCGTGAGCAACTTGTTTTTCTTCAGCTTGGAAGATTTGTACAACTATAGCCTCTTGAATGTCTGTGTTATTTCAAAAGGAATTATTTGAGTTATAATGGTAATTATATTATTGATTGGTTAAACAAGGAAAGACAGTTTAAGATGATGATAAGTCTGTGCTGTTACCACGGAATGTCTGTACTGTTACCACCAGTGTCTGTCCTGTTACATGTTTGAAGGTAACAGCACAGACAGTAACAGCATAGACAAATTGACACTAATTACAGTTTTTTTTAATGAGACCTCCCTTGAAATGTTGAGACCACATGGCATTGTGAACAGTTCATATTTTCTAATATTCTGAAAAAATGGTTTTAGAAAAAAATATTTGTTTTTGCAAAAATGAGCAGTAACAGCACAGACATAAGAAAAGGGTTTTCATGATAGGAATAAACTTCCCTGTCAAGCAGAATTATCCAAGGTCTTCTCTCACTTGAAGGACACTGCTGCCATGATAGTACAGGAAGTAAGCGGTATTTCTGTTATTTTGAATTATGGGAATCTTGAAGGATTATTTATTTTTCAGTTTTGATCCATCCTGGTAACAGGACAGACACTTTTTTATGTACAAGTGTTTCTTACGAAAAACCAATATAAATAAAAGTGTGTATCTTTAAAAAATAATTATATTCCATGAGTTAGAAAGGTAATGTACAATATATAAACATTATTTACATAATATTTTTTATTTTTAGCAACATTAAACAATGTTGATGTGCAAACATAGGGTTACGGACACACCCTTCAGCTCAATTTAAGCGCAATTAAGCAGTTTTAATTAAAATAAAATACCTAATAAGAAATACTGAAATTTAACTTTCAGACACCATGGTATGTTCTAAGAAAAACACTTGTGTTTTAACATATTTAAAATAAATATTTTCATTGTTATTCAACTCGGACTAAAATTCTCACTTTTTTTTAAAATGACCCATATACTATATTGGGCCGGTATTACCCCTGTGAACATTAGAATTGGTCTTCAGCAATCCATCCTTGTCATAAGAGGCGACTAACAAGCTGGCTGTTCCTATATAGGGGTGTTACTTGGTGGGCCTTCCTTCTACATGACCAGCACAAACAGGCCTTTTGGAAAACACCAGCTTTTCTGCCTGCTTCCAACACTGTTTTTTTTGGATTCAAGAACGGAGCAGGTGTCTCATTCAAAACACTCAACTGGGACAAATTCTGGACATTCATACTGCATTGATTTACTGATGCTGTCACATATTTGACCCATTGTATTGCCATTTATGATTGTAATCCAAATCCTGTATATTTCAATATAATTTGTTGATAGTTTCTTGATCTTGTGTGCTTATATACTGATTTCACAATTTAGGTCTATACACACCGATTTCTGGGTCTTCCTTTGCATTTCAGTTTGGGAATCAACACATGACAATGTCATTGTATCCCAATTGCATTGATTAATCTATGTTAGAATTTGGCACCAGTCCTGTAGTCCTTGCCAAACTGCCCAATGGTTAAGGTATCATAAGGACTAGTGGAAAATTGCCTTTTTTACAGAGTTTTGCTATATGTTATCATTATTCGGACTAGTCGACTAAACTTGTTAGTTTTTACCTCTGGATTAATGCTCATAATATCAATCACTGGTTTGTATGGTCCACTCACGATTTTTTCCTAGCTGCTGTCGTATAGCTGGAATATTCCTGACTATGGTGTTAAATAATATTCACCCAATCACTCACCCACTTATTATTTGAATCTAAAATTGGATGTGTTTTGTGTATTACTGGGGACGAGGGTGGTCAGTGTGATCAAATTGAACAGCTGTTCAAATTTTGTTTGTTTGTTTAACACCGCACTCAGCAGTATACCAGCTACATGATGACGGTCTGTAAATAATCGAGTCTGGACCAGACAATCCAGTAATTGACATCATGAGCATCGATCCACGCAACTAGGATACGATGACATGCATCAACCAAGTCAGCGAGCCTGACCACACGATCCTGCTAGTCACCTCTTATGATAAGCATAGTCGCCTTATACGGCAAGCATGGGTTGCTGAAGACCTATTCTACCCCAGGTCAGCTGTTCAAAGCAGCATTAAAGCCAGTGCCCTCACATACTACTCTCTTGGATGAGCTGAAGACAAACATATACATTTACATTCCAATCTTTTTTACTCACGTTAGCACATACTATTGCAACTGAATATTATTTCTAAACAGAGTGCCTTTATGTATTTTATGAGTGAGTGTGAGTGAGTATGGTTTTACGCCGCTTTTAGCAATATTCCAGCAATATCACGGCGGGGGACACGAGAAATGGGCTTCACACATTGTACCCATGTCGGGAATCGAACCCCGGTCTTCGGCGTGACGACCGACCACTTTAACCACTAGGCCTGTATGTTATGAGAGATTGTAGTTCCTGGTTACAGCAATGAAGGGGCCAATATTCAATATCATGTGATAGGGAGTGTTTCCGAGCCTACACGTTCTTGTCGAAACATCACGTCTGTCAGTTTATGATTGGCATCCATGTCATTATGATTAATTGTGTTACATTATCTTGTCTTGGCATCAAATGTCAGTATAGCTAATTGTGTTACAATATCTTGTCTTGGCATCCAGTGTCATTATAGCTTATTTTGTTACAGTATCTAGTCTTGGCATCAAATGTCAGTATAGCTAATTGTGTTACAATATCTTGTCTTGGCATCCAGGGTCATTATAGCTTATTTTGTTACAGTATCTAGTCTTGGCATCCAATGTATGTATAGCTAATTGTGTTACAATATCTTGTCTTGGTATCCAGTGTCAGTATAGCTAATTGTTTACAGTATCTAGTCTTGGCATCCAATGTAAGTATAGCTAATTGTGTTACAATATCTTGTCTGGGCATCCAATGTCAATATAGCTAATTGTGTTACAGTATCTTGTTGTGGCATCCAATGTAAGTGTAGTTACGTGTGTTGCAGTATCTTGTCTTGGCATCCAATGTAAGTATAGCTAATTGTGTTACAGTATCTTGTTTTGGCATCCAATGTAAGCATAGCTAATTTTGTTACAGTATCTTGTCTTGGCATCCAGTGTAAGTATAGCTAATTGTGTTACAATATCTTGTCTTGGCATCCAGTGTCAGAAAAGCTAATTGTGTTACAGTATCTAGTCTTGGCATCCAATGTAAGTATAGCTAATTGTGTTACAATATCTTGTCTTGGCATCCAGTGTCAGTATAGCTAATTGTGTTACAGTATCTAGTCTTGGCATCCAGTGTCAGTATAGCTAATTGTGTTACAGTATCTAGTCTTGGCATCCAGTGTCAGTATAGCTAATTGTGTTGCAGTATCTTGTCTTGGCATCCAATGTAAGTATAGCTAATTGTCTTACAATATCTTGTCTTGGCATCCAATGTCAGTACAGCTAATTGTGTTACTGTATCTTGTCTTGGCATCCAGTGTCAGTATAGCTAATTGTGTTACAATATCTTGTCTTGGCATCCAGTGTCAGTATAGCTAATTGTGTTACAGTATCTAGTCTTGGCATCCAGTGTCAGTATAGCTAATTGTGTTACAATATCTTGTCTTGGCATCCAATGTCAGTATAGCTAATTGTGTTGCAGTATCTTGTCTTGGCATCCAATGTAAGTATAGCTAATTGTCTTACAATATCTTGTCTTGGCATCCAATGTCAGTACAGCTAATTGTGTTACTGTATCTTGTCTTGGCATCCAGTGTCAGTATAGCTAATTGTGTTACAATATCTTGTCTTGGCATCCAGTGTCAGTATAGCTAATTGTGTTACAGTATCTTGTCTTGGCATCCAATGTAAGTATAGCTAATGGTGTTACAGTATCTTGTGCTGGCATCCAATGTCAGTATAGCTAATTGTGTTTCAGTATCTTGTCTTGGCATCCAGTGTCAGTATAGCTAATTGTGTTACAGTATCTTGTCTTGGCATCCAATGTAAGTATAGCTAATGGTGTTACAATATCTTGTCTTGGCATCCAATGTAAGTATAGCTAATGGTGTTACAGTATCTTGTCTTGGCATCCAATGTAAGTATAGCTAATTGTGTTACAGTATCTTGTCTTGGCATCCAATGTAAGTATAGCTAATTGTGTTACAGTATCTTCTTGGCATCCAATGTCAGTGTAGTTACGTGTGTTGCAGTATCTTGTCTTGGCATCCAATGTAAGTATAGCTAATTGTGTTACAGTATCTTGTCTTGGCATCCAATGTAAGTGTAGCTAATTGTGTTACAGTCTCTTGTCTTGGCATCCAATGTAAGTATAGCTAATTGTGTTACAGTCTCTTGTCTTGGCATCCAATGTCAGTGTAGCTAATTGTGTTACAGTATCTTGTCGTGGCATCCAATGTCAGTGTAGTTACGTGTGTTGCAGTATCTTGTGCTGACATCCAATGTCAGTGTAGTTACGTGTGTTGCAGTATCTTGTGCTGGCATCCAATGTCAGTGTAGTTACGTGTGTTGCAGTGTGTTCATATGGCGTCCAGTGTTGCAGTATCTTGTATTCGCATCCAATGTCACACATCTACCAATGGCCAGTCAGATCACGCACCCACTGCTTTGCCTCGTTTTCCCCGCTTGTAGGTGCACACAGACGCCTGAACATCTTCACTACTTGTTGTCTGCTGTCCTGAAACTTGGCCTCGTCCCCGCCATGCCGAAGCCAGTACTGTTTGGCGTACTCGTCCACATACAACTGACTGTTGTTCATTAAACGAATCAGTTCGGTGATGCTCTTATCGACGGCAGGACCACTGTAGGAGTTGTTGCTAGAATAGTCGTACATATAAGTGACCACCATGTCACAAATCTCACCGATGGCAGTTCCATAGACAGTTGCGTTGGCATCAATATATGGCTCCTCTTCCGGAATGTGTGCAACCATCTCGTACCTGATTGACTGGATTGTGGCTTCAGGAAGGGGCGTGTGATATGCTCGATAAGCTGCTGTGTCATTTTTATTTTCAAGCAGTTGATCTGCCGTGCTTTCAATCCGAGCAGCAAATCGGTCTATGATTGTCTTAAAAACCTTTAGGACGTTGTTATTGATGACGTGTTCTCCACGTTCAGATGGCCCTTTCTTCTCACCCTTGCTGGTCTTTGGGTCTTTGGGTCTGCTGGATTTCTTGGTCATTTCTTGGATCGGAACTTGAGTAGCATCAGCCGCTTTTGCGCCAGCTCCTTTCCCCGATTTTGCGCCAGCTCCTTTCCCCGATTTTGCGCCAGCTCCTTTAATGGCATTCATGGCTTCTTTTGCTGTAGTGCCCCTGAACACAATATTTTCAACAACTGTAAGGTACGCAGTACCCGCGGCATGTTGTGTTCCAGCTGTGAGAACATCCAGCACAAGACCCAGAGCTGCGTCCGCTCCCTTCTCCTTTGCAAGGGCATAGTCGCCATGGCAGACGGCTGATACAGCCTCAACCGTGTTCTTGACTGTCCCCACAACTGGGATGTAGTCCAGCCAGTCTGTCCATACGCTCATGTTTGATGTTCCTTGTCAGGAAGAAGCAAGAAAGAAATGATTAATTCATGCAGTGCAGACATGCTTAGAGGGCGATTCGATTTAAACATGATTGAGTAAATTTGGTTCTTCGCTGCTTTTAGCAATAACTGAGCAATAACAGAAATGGGCTCCACACATTGCACCCATTTGGAAAATCCGAAGTATGAAAAGGGGGCACATTGTGACCCACTGGAACTGTCTACTGGGATTTTAGCGACATAGAATAAATTGTTATTGGTGAAAAAATTGTCTGTCACAAATATTACATTCTTGCGAGGTGTTTTTCATTAAAAAAATATTTAGGCTCATAGCTTTTATTTATAGAATATCTGGTTTTGCTCCAGAAACTGACAAAATGATCTAGCCCCAAAACAAAATCCCAGGCCATACCACTTCATGGGGTTGCATGGGTACTAACTCACTCACAGCACAAGCAGTGTTTGAACCACTTCTGTTGGTCCGGAACATCCCAATTTGGACCATTTTTCTCAGGTGAAAAATTGACTTGCCCTTGCATGTGTTTGTAACGCGTGCCAGCGGTGGGGCAGGATACGTCCACCTTCTCGAGAACACCTGGTATCATCACTACATGCACTGTATTTGATAAACACGTGCTCATGATATAGTCGGAATCGTACAATGGACTGAACTGTGCTTTTAGTCGAGATTTTCCAACTCTGTACACTACTATCCCACATGACGAACTTAAGGCAAAACTTTATTTCTTGATTCATGGGGCTTCTGTTACAAAACGTGGTGACCATAGATACAGTTACATATATATCGTCAGGGGTTCAGATCAATTTGTAAAGAATGAAAGCAAATGCCATCTTAAGTTTACTCAGAAAACAATATGTGAAATTCTGGACTTCCTAATTGATAACATCCATGTAAATTTTAAGGAAAGACACTTAGATAAGAAGGAGGCTTTCCGGTGGGCACCAATTGTGCCCCCCTTCTTGCTGATCTTTTTCTGTATGCACATGAATCGGAATTCAGGATCGGCAAAGTCAAAACAAGGGAATTGCCAGGAATAGCGATGATCTGATATTGTTCAATTCCCTTCCACTGATTTACAGGACTGCCTCCGTGGTGTTGTGGTAGAGCGTCCGACCGGAGAGCGGAAGGTCCGGGGTTCGATCCCCGGCCGCGTCATACCAAAAGACGTTAAAAGATGGTACTTGTTGTTACCCTGTCTGGCACTCGGCATTAAGGGGATAAAACAAGGACTGGTCGGCTCTGAGTCAGTATACTGTGTCTGAGTATTCATGTTAAACTGCGGCATGGTATCTCAGTGGGCTAGCACTATTAATCGGCATCAGTCTGGACTAGTACAAGCAGCGACACACACACACACGTGCATGCACACGCCGCTATGTAAGTGCAATAATCTTGGACGCGAAGTTAAACCCAATTCACCTCACCTCCACTGATTTACCCACCTGAACTAGAAATAAAGGAAACCAGTGATACCGCCTCATCTGTTTCATATTTAGAGTATTTTAGACTGTTTGACAAGCGAGATGACGTCAATTTGCCAATAGTCAACTTTCCCTTTATGTCGAGCAATATTCTTGGAGCTCCAGCCTTTGGTGTGCACATTTCACATTTGAGGTACAATCGAGCATACTCTTTCTACCAAGATTTCGGGGCGGTCGGGTAGCCTAGTGGTTAAAGCGTTCGCTCGCCACGCCGAAGACCCAGGTTCGATTCCCGACATGGGTACAATGTGTGAAGCCCATTTCTGGTGTCCCCAGCCGTGATATTGCTGGAATATTGCTAAAAGCGGCCTAAAACCATACTCATTCACTCACTACCAAGATTTCAAAGAACGTACGCTTCAGACGATTTTTGTTCAGAATATCAAGGATACAACATTCAAGGCCTCAGTACTTTCAAAACGTTTTATGGTAGACAAGTGGGGGACATTTGAGCATTAAAGTACTCATGGAAATGAAAAAAACCTGTTTTGCTGGATTTAATAATCGACACAAAGCATTACGTAGATGTAAATATGAAATAACAAAACAACTGGAAAAGAACTAGTCTGGATTTACTAGTTTTATCTCAGTGCTCAATACAAAATGTACTTTACAGGAGGTAATTTGTAGGCACTTTCAACATTCAAAAATAAAACTAAGTCCAAATTGACATGGCAGAAACAGGCTATAGGCATTATGCAAATTAGCCTGGAAAAAAGTTCTCAAAACAACAATAATAATAACAGCTATGTTTATGTACATAATAATAATGACATGTAAGTTGTTGTTTGAGAAGGGAATATGTTACTTTTACGTTCTGATATTTTGACGATGATTCACTATCCCACAATGCCACTCACAAATCACTAACTACTGACAAATCACATGCACGTGGGTTTCAAGCACCTGTTTTCACCTGTCGTCAAGGTGTCATAGGTCATGGACATTCACCTTGATCTACTAACACCTGGTTATGCTCAGTTTCACAATAATCTGTTTTGTTCATATTTTTACACGCTTTTACGTGTGAAAAGACATAAAACCTTTGATACGCTGTATTTGTGCCAAGGCCCAATTAGTACTAATTGCGTTGTTTGAATATTTATATATTTTGTATATTAACTGCAGTTATTTAAAATCTGAGATCGAAAAAAGTTATTTTCATTTCCGTGAGTACTTTTTTAAATTTATTTTTTTAGTGACAAATGTGATGAGCGAAGCTATTCCCTGTATCGTATGTTCCCCTGTTTTTTCAGGTGAACACTTGACTTGCCTTTGCATGTGTTTGTGACTGGTGCCACCGGTGGGACAGGATACGCTCAAATACGAACTCCTCATAATCATGTAGTTTCATATATTTGCGATAAATGACAGACGGACAGTTGCAGATCGCACATTATGTTCCCTTTCTGGTAATTATAATAATATTTAAATAATTATTTTCCAATCATTGCACCGGTGAGAAATGGCCTGCGCCTGTCTACTCGTTTATATTAGACAGTAACTGTGTCTATTATTGCTCGTCATGTGTGAATTACGCGTACATATAAAGACTCATTCCACACGGTTCAAGTCACATGGAGGGGCGATCGGGTAGCCTAGTGGTTAAAGCGTTCGCTCGTCACGCCGAAGACCCGGGTTCGATTCCCGACATGGGTACAATGTGTGAAGCCCATTTCTGGTGTCCCCCGCCGTGATATTGCTGGAATATTGCTAAAAGCGGCGTAAAACCATACTCACTCACTCACTCACTCACTCAAGTCACTCAAGTCACACGGCGTCATATCAAGAAGTTCTCCACTGGTCTCTAAAAGGTGCGAGATCGCCTAAAAGAAAATGTCGCTTCATCGAGATCGACAAGAGGCAATATGTTAATCTCTGATGGCATACACCGACAGTGTGTCTCACATCACTGGCTATTGCTATGAAGTACGATGTGTTGTGATTTCTGATTGCCAAGATTTGTTATATGTTTGTGATGTGTTATAAATCAAACGTAAGATAGAAAGTTGTGTCTTGCTTGTTTCATTTGATCCCGGATTTTATTTCAAAGGGCGCAGTACCTTTTTGTTCTAATTGATCCTCCTCGACACAGTATACTGACTCCGAGCCGACCAGTCCTTGTTTTGCGTTAAGTCCCCTTAATGCCAGGGTAACAACAATTACCATGTTTGCGTCTTCAGGTATGACGCTGCCGTGGATCGAACCACCAACCTTCCGCTCACCGGACAGATGCTCTATGCATAAGGCGGAAGTGGTCGAGTGCGCAGGATAAAGGGCTGGATAGTACATACAGAGCGATGTCACAGTGACAAGAATTTATCCCAATATCATCAGAGAAACATTTATCGTATATATGCAACAGAACACATTTTTTTCATTGAAAATAGTCTATGTCAAATTTCAAATGCAAATATATATCACAACTTAATAAATTTCAGTGCAGTAGTAACTGAGCACAAACTTAATACAATTCCTACTGGCATAGTGTGATAAATAATTATGTGTCCTCACCCGAACTATTTATTTAGTGTTTTTAGTGTGAGTTCGAATAACTTCAATATTAGGCGAGTTGTTTGAAGCCATCTGGGTTATGATCAAACAGACACCTTTGACCATTGACTAATCTAGATGTATGTAAGAAATTAAAAACTTTCTTCAAATATGTTGAATTTACTGAGATTGTGAACAGCAGTTATTTTGTCAACGTTGAAAGATAACAGATCATGATGTGGACCTGCATTACTTTTACTCAGTTAGTACTTAGTTGGTATAGACACACCAGAGTGGTACACAGTTTGAGTGAGTGAGTGAGTATGGTTTTACGCCGCTTTTAGCAATATTCCAGCAGTATCACGTCGGGGGACACCAGAAATGGGCTTCACACATTGTACCCATGTGGGGAATCAAACCCGGGTCTTCGGCATGACCAGCGAACGCTTTAACCACTAGGCTACCCGACCGCCCCTCCATGTGACTTGAACCGTGTGGAGTGAGTCAACTTATGTACGCGTAATTCACACATGACGAGCAATAATAGACACAGTTACTGTCTAATATAAACGAGTAGACAGGCGCAGGCCATTTCTCCAACCAAGACGTAGAGAAACAAGAACGAATCGGTTCAATGCTACAGCAAATGAAGGAAAACAAAATGCAAATACAATAATTACAACCTACCAAATTTATGTGTATAATTTTAGGCAGCTTCCTTGTTCGAGGAATGTATCCGTGAATATCCACACAAAGGAACAATATCCCACTCGTCTGCAGTTGTACAAAGAAACTTATTCGATGTCACGTGTCTCTGTAACAAGCAAATATTTTAAAAGATATATATCGTTTCGGGATATTATAACCCGTGTTCGTTTCTCAACTGATCGCTTAGATTGTTTCAGGTGTTTCACATAGGGGTCAAGTCTCAAGGGTCGGCTGAGAAAGCCCACGTGACAACTATTTTCATAACGTCAACGGTTCCTAAAAAATCCATTGAGTGATTGATAATGTAAGGGTGAAAATCTCAACACCGTAACAATTTCCTACTTGACCTGTACATCAGTAGTTTGTTTGCAGAAATGTGTTTTAAGATATTTGATTTCCTTTTCAAGACTATTTATAGGTAGCTTACCTTTCTTCAAATGTAAAATGCTAAAACAATGTACTTTCAAGTTAATATTTGTTTGTTTAAAAGCAAATATTTTTCTGGATTTACTTAAAACATGGTTGTCCCTCAGCTGGACCAGAATAAAAAATATTACCTAAACTATATCTAAATATAATAAAAATGTAACAAAGTTTGCGTTACAACGTACCAATACTAAAGAAATAAGTGCGCTATGGGAGATAACTCTCATACCCTTCCTCATTTGGCAACATGTGTATGAAGTTCATCTGCTGGTTATAGATAGATGCCACATTTATGTACAATGTTCAAGCCAATGACATCAAGATATGTCTGTACAGTATGTATTCTAAGCCTCAACTCTGTTGCACTGTCTATAGATCTATATCTCATTCTAATTTACTTCACTTTTCCAAGATATATTGGTTTGTAAGACCATGTTAGCAATGAGTATTTTAATTTCCATAAAAAGCAAATCATGGTGGGATATGAGCCATATATAGTAAGGTTTCTCAACTCCGTTACACTCAACTCTGTAATGCTGTACAGCGTAATGGAGTGGAAATCTGTTGTTTTTCTGCACAATTTCGAAAGTTATTCCCAGTACATAGCTTTGTTTTTCTTCAAGAATTCTTTTTTTAACCCTATACCTGACAAATAATTTTCCCACAGTCAGTTATAAGAATTTTTGTTTTAAATAGTCACTCAGGCTACTCTGATGTTTCTGATGAACAAGATGTTATGACCTGCGCTAAATGTGGATTTGTTTCTATTGATAGTGCTCTATCAGACAGTGTACTCTATTTTGGATAGCGTCTTTCATGTAAATGACTTTGTTGTCTAGGCAAACTTTTGAAATATTGAGGGAGCACTGACAAATGTCCAATCATACATTTTATTTAGCCAGTTTCCATTTGTATTAACACTGAATTGTATTCGCACTTAATGTTAATTGTTGAATATGATTTTATATTTCAAAGCAACCTAGCGCTATCATAATTACTTTCCATTTTGTGAACCGTAACAGAGTTGAATGTCCTTGGGGATTAGGCTAATTCATTAATTATTTTCTAATTAATTAAACACATCAATGCACTGCATTGATCTAGAAAGTACTCCTCAAGTATCATATTCTCTAATATCAAGTGAAAAATTATATTAGGGACACTTATATTTTGGCAAGTTGATAATCAGAAAATTTGTCGGTTTTGAGATTTTTACCCAACAACGACCAACCAATCAACGTATTATCAGTTAACCCTTTGAACAAAGTATGTTGTTTTTACATCGGCACTTCACGCCATGACATGAGTGTATTCCCTTTGTTTTAGTAAACCTAGACATGTAAACACTCACTTTTGACATATCCACTGTGCAAGATAACAGTGATTAATCAATCAACGTATTTTCCGTTAATCCTTTGATGACTAGGAACAATCCGTTGATTTACAAAAAAAGTAAATTAACTGACCTCTTGCTGGGCTGCCACGTGCATATTACATTACACATATTTCACCTCACTTCAAACCTGGATTTAGATTGAATAATTACCCCAGACACAATAAATGCCAAATGGGAACCTTTGTCAGTCAATCTAAGTGGTGCTACCACTAACTGTACCTGTAAATTCATTAACTGAGCATCAAGTGAATGACGACAAATACACAAGTGTAGGGTTATACCAGAAAACGTGGATGACAACAAAGGAGTAGTAATCGTATCATCGACGCAATCCGAAATCCGAAAATGCTTTCACTGCATGGATACTTTTTTTATTATTAAACTATAACCGTCTGGGGTATTTCCAAATGACGACATCCCATGAGCTCCGCCGTCCTTTTTGTCTGTTTGTTTAGGCTGAAGAAATTAATTAACATGCGCCCTTTGTCGAAATCTTTATGGATCACAGTTAACCAATCAGTGTTTATGCAAAAATGCGTAAAAAAAATATAGCCTCCAGCCTCCAAGTTTATTTAGCTGTCCTTGCAGACTGTAGCCCAGTCTCTGGTCACGCTCAGTTGCGTTGCGTATCATCCGGGTACTCACGGGGTAAAATCAATAAGGAAGGCAACAACCAGTCCGGGGAATTGCGTTAGATCAGTGCCCCATTAACCACTAGGCTACCCGGCCACCCCCACCTGCTCCTTAAAGAAATTCGTGTGTGACGTTCATATAATGAACTGTACTACCCTCATTAAACCAATGCATCAGAATAGACTGCTTGAATTTTAGACCGATGAAATAATACCTTCTTCTACCTCATCATTTTATCTAATTTAAAACGTTCTCTATTTCTAAAAAACAATCAACAAAATTCAGTTTTGCTGTATAAGAAATATTTTGAGAGAAGAAGAATTGAGTCATGTGATTGAATTCGCCTACATTTTTATCAACTGATGCAACTCACTATGCACACCAAGCCTCCTTTCGATCCAAGATGGCGAAAGTGTAAAACAGGTCAACAGTCCAAACTGATCACAGAGACACGACTCTTCAATGACTAATGCTATATAGGAAGGAGACACACATCTATGTATATATAACCCTCTGTACTTACGTTCCTGCTTCTTTCAACCAAAAAATCTCGCAAATGACAAAATGCAATTTCTTAAACCGCTAACTAGCTTCCCATGCCAAGTCCAAGTCCAAGTTCCGCATTCGCCTGTAAATCATTAAGTGACGTGGAGCTATATATAAATTGAATTCACTTCCTTGTTTGAGTGTAAAATACCTTAAAACCAGATCCTTGACTCCGATACGATAGTTCTCTTGGCACCCGTAATAGGAGTCCTCAAGTCTTTGTTTAGCGATAGCGAGAACTGAGAACTGATTTTAATGAGATTGACTCTCTTACGCTCTGCAGCATGTATAATCATGAGGGTTTCTACCCACAAGTCTTGTCGATACAAGCAGCCGTTGTAAATAGGGAATTCAATTGTGACGTATTCATGTCACATGCTACTTTAGGCCTTCCAGTTTTGTTTTTTGTTTGTTGTTTAACGACGCTATTCCAGCTATATGACGCCGGTCTGTAAATAATCGAGTCTGGACCAGACAATCCAGTGATTGACATCATGAGCATTTTGAGATTGAGATACGATGACATGCATCAACCAAGTCAACCGAGTGAGTATGGCTTTACCCCGCAATATCACGACAGGGAACACCGGAAAATGACCTTCACACATAGTACCTATGTAGGGCACCGAACCCGGGTCTTCGGCGTGACGAGCCTACGCTTTAACCACTAGGCTACCCGACCGCCCCGAACCATAAGCGGCAGCTGTTAATTGCCATTGACATGTATATTGCCATGGCATGGCAGCTGCAGCTTATGGCAGCCGCAGCTTACTAACTTAGTTGCCCACTTGCACGTGCACACTCTCGGCAATTTAACCAACTCTTCTCCCGTGCTGTTCTTGGACATCCTCCTTAGGGTAATCTGTGCCCTCTGCCTATATAGCATATAGTGGAATATTTGCATTCAGTACTACGAAATGGCAGTACTATGAAGACCGCCTCCGTGGTCTAGTGGTAGAGCGTCCGCCCGGAGATCGGAAGGGCTGGTCGGCAGTATACTGTGTCTGAGTGGGGTATTCATGTTAAAAACTGCGACATGGTATCTCAGTGTGCTGGCACTATAAAATCGGCATCAGTCCGGACTAGTACAAGCAGCCACACACACACGTGCATGCACGTCTCTATATAGACCCGTGAAGATTCCGGAGTAGAATATATCCTCAGCAACCCATACTTGTCGTAACAGGTGACTATGCTTGTCGTAAAAGGCGACTAACGGGATCGGGTGGTCAGGCTCGCTGACTTGGTTCATGCATGCATGTCATCGTATCCCAATTGCTTGGATCGGTGCTCAGGATATTAATCACTGGATTGTCTGGTCCAGACTCGATTATTTACAGACCGCCGTCATATAGCTGGAATATTGCTGAGTGCGGCGTTAAACAACAAACCAACCAACTGAGACTGATATAGTGTCGGAGTTACACTCACAAGGAGTTACTGATGCTAAACGTTTCACTTCTAAGAGAGACAATCAAAATATACAGACACACACATATCTATTTACCTTTTGTCTTCCATCACGTCAAGAATCACTAAAAGCTGGCTACTAAGGAGATAAACCTACTGTGTTTTGAAATTTGATGTAGTCCCACTGTAGAATAGATACCTCTTTATTATAATTTTGAACCGAGCGCTTTAGCGAGTAGGTTTATCTCCATTCTACCATGACGGCAACAACGCTTTGAAAACGGCGCTCACTTGCAACGCGTAATAACACAGGTGCACAGGTCCGCAATCTTAGAACATTCCGAAAAGTGGTCACAGGTAGTCATATATGTAACAAATATTACTGAAGGTCAAGATTACAAAACACCAAAGTCGTGAGTAGTTTATAATAAGTGTTCAAAACACATAGTTTTTCAAACGAAGTTGACAAATAACACTCCTAATTTAATCCAAAGAGAGATGTTTTAATTTCTATCAAACTGTTGCACACTGTTGAACACTGTGGACTGGCTGTCGTTTCTCGGAAATTTGTGAGAGAGGTCATTTCTTGGAAATCGAACATGCCATCATTTATGTTGTAGGGGTGAAGGGTAATAGAAAAAGGTTTTAAAATGTAAAACGAATATATTTCTACAGCAAACTTTATGAATTTACATTCTAATATACATTTAGCATGTCTAAGAGTTATTAGTTAGATAGCAATTACCCCCAGTAAACAATAATAACATCAAAGTAAATGCCTCTCCACCCGAACTTGGATGTGGCAGAACTTGACCTAAATCACGGTTACTCACACCTCACAGCTGTCAATGGCTGACAATCATGTGTTTACATTAACTTGATCTAGTTAAAAGAAGCAAGATGACAACCCCGATCTATGATGTGGTTTAACATTTACCTGTAGATTTTCTGGGATTGATCGAGCCTGCTGGTACATCCATATGATTACATAGAATGTAACTTAAGGGTGGATGCTTACATCCCAAATCCCTGAGGTGTTACTGTTGCCAAAAGTATGACCATGCATGATGGCTCAAAATCATTCCACGACCCAGCTGCCTGTCATCGATGTGGTGGAAAATGTGAGGATAGCAGACAATGTGACAAATCCCCTTCCTGTGTAAACTGCTCTGGCAATCATCTCTCGTCTTCCAAAGTAAATTTTCATGTATGAAGCATGAGTGTGACATCTCTTTTCTGGATGTGAAGAAAATAGTTCTTTTTGCACAAGAAAAGTCAGGCCCAAGTTATGCTGCTGCTGTTTCTGTTTCAACGCCATCCCCTGTTATCATTAGATCTTCCGTCAATCCTCCGAAGAGATAGTTTCTTTACACATAGTACAATGGAATTGTAGAGGACTGAGAACTAATTTTAACGAATAACATCTCTTAGTTCAGGATGTTAATCCTTCAGCATTCTGTCTGCAGGAAACGTATCTAAAGCGGACAGATAATTTTATTTTACGTCAGTCAAATGCATATCATTATTTTTCTCCTCCGGGTGAAAAGGCCACTGGAGGATCTTCAGTCATTGTTAAGAATGATGTTATCCACAGCCCTGTTATACTTAACACCAATCTCCAATCCGTTAGTGTGCTACTTACTTTGAACGTTGTTTTTACTTTGTGCTCACTGGGTACAATGTGTGAAGCCCATTTCTGGTGTCCCCCGCCGTGATATTGCTGGAATATTGCTAAAAGCGGCGTAAAACCATACTCACTCACTCACTTTGTGCTCACTGTATATTCCGCCTTCGTCAGCTCTTCAGCTGACTGATCTTCAAGCTCTCTATCATCAACTCCCCAAACCTTGTATAATCATGGGTAGGGTGGCCCATAAGGGACACGGAGTCTGTTTTTCAATATTTTGATATTTCACTTACTGTTATCGTAACCTTTTGCAAATTAACACGATTTGTCTTACAAATATGTGATAAATCATGTGTAAAGTAGATATTGAATCGCTGAAAAACGAAACGAAAATGTCAAAAACTAAAATGAAAATGTCAAAAAACACAAAACGAAGATGTCAAAAACTAAAATGAAAATACAGAAAACTATTTCCACCGCGGTGTAAATATTATCACTGCGGTGGAAATATTTTCACCTCGGTGTAAATATTATCACCGCGGTGGAAAAAGTTTTCTGTGTATTCATTTTAGTTTTTGACATTTTCGTTTTGTGTTTTTGACATTTTCATTTTAGTTTTTGACCTTTTCGTTTTGGTTTTTGACATTTCCATTTTAGTTTTTGACATTTTCACTTCACATTTCAGCGACTCAAAAGCTACTTAAAAGTACATTTTCTATGTTTTCGGATGTTTTTATACATGATTTATCACATATTTGTATGGCAGATTGTGTTAATTTGCAAAAGGTTAAGATAAAAGTAAGTTAAACATTAAAATATTGAAAAACAGACTCCATGTCCCTTATGGGCCACCGTACATGGGTGATCTGAATCGCCACAACCAACTCTGGGGTGGTACAAACACTAACACTAAAGGTAAAATACCTGAAGATTTCATCTCCAATAATGGCCTATGTATATTTAATGATGACTCAAGCACTTATCTGCATCCTGCAACTGGGACCTATTCTTCTCTCGATTTGTCACTAACTGATTCTACCCTTTCTTAAAGAATTTGAATGGTCAGTCCACACTGACCTCTGTGGACCTGACCATTTCCCAAATATCATTGAAACAATAAATCCATCTGATATTCCACCTCCAACAAGACGGAATTTAACAAATGCAAACTGGCCTTTATTTCAAACATTATGCACAAACAAAATAAATCCTGATTGTTTCAGAGATGTGGCTGATCCTTTTCACCTTTTTTTCTGACGTTTAAAATGAAATTTCCAAAGAATGTATTCCAAAGTCCATATATTCGTAAACCATGGTTCAAAACTGATTGTAAACACGCTAGGAAAGCTAGGAAAAAAGGCAGAAAAATATTTCCTAAACCACCCAACTGTCCATAACTTAAATAAATTTAAAATATTAAACGCAAAAGCTCTTCGTACGTTAAAACAGAATAAACAACAATCATGGCGAAACTATTTTTCGAAAATAAATTCCAGAACAAATATGTCTAAGATTTGGAATATGGTGCAAAGAATTAAAGGTAAAGGTTCTAAATCTAGTGTTCACCATCTTAAGGATGGTGACACTTTATTAACTGCTAAATCTGATATATAGCAAGTAAATTTGGAGAAACCTTAGCTAAACAGTCATCCTCATCAAATTATACCCCAAAATTTCAGAAAGTTAAATAACAAGATGAAAGAATTAAAACTAATTTTAATTCTGATAATGGCGAGGATTATAATGAATTTTTTTCCATTCATGAGCTGCATATCGCCTTAGGGTAAGCTCATGATACTGCTACAGGTTCTGATAATATCCATTGGCAGTTACTAAAACATTTACCTGATTCCTGTTTAGAGACATTTTTAACTGTGTTTGATGATATATGGAAAACGGGTAATTTTCCTTCATCGTGGCGAAATGCTGTCATAATTCCCAACCCAAAACCTGGCCGTGATCATACTGATCCTTCTAACTATGGGCCATTATCACTTAACAGCTGTGTTTGCAAAACCATGGAAAGAATGGTAAATAACAGCCTTATGTGGTATTTTGGAAACCAATACTCT